GGGGAAGGGGGGTAGGAGTGCAAAACCATGAAATAATATTTTTCAGATTCGTTGTATATTTTGAAACTAACTTGAAAGACTTTTCCTAAGTACAGTGTGCTTCTGTGTGACTGCTTGGTTGTGCATGTAACAGTGGGGATGATGATTATCTTCTTGCCTAGACAGGAAAATAGTCTTTCTTTGCTCTTACTTGAGTTCCTTTTGCTAGTTAGGCAGATTTAAAGAGACTGGAACAGCATATGCTATGCCCCCCCGGCCCCCCGGCTGAATATAAATAGTTTAAATACACATGAATTAACCTGCAGCAAAACAGAGCTGTTTTCGCTTAGACTCTGTTCTTAGAGGATGTCTGAGATTGCATAAAAGAATGAAACATGGCTTTTAGGTTTTAACCTTCTTAGCATATATTTCAAAGATTTGTATTATTTATATGGCTGAGATTTTGTAAATTAATTATTTTGATGGATGAGTTCATAATAGTTCTGCTTCTTTGTTACATACACCCTGAACTGAAACTATTTTTATTCAGTTCAGGCTCATACTTTCAGTTCATCACTGTATTCTCATAAATGTAAAGGATGCCAGTATATTAATCTCTATTGTAAATAATTAATATCTTGTGTGAGCTGCACTACTTACACCTGAACTGTAATTTTTATTACTACCACAAATAAGGGAAGAAGAATATATTTCTTCTAGAGAAAAGACAATTCTCCAACCCCATACATTAAGTAGTCATGAGATTTAAACAATAAATAAGTCAGTCAGTCTTTTATTTGTCTTCTGGTTTTAGAGCCTTGACTTCACTTCATGTTTTCTCAACAACCTGAGGGGCTAGAATGGTTCTTCTTTCCTTGAAATGAAAGCCAAAATGTTTGTTTCCAGCTGTCGAAACATTCAGAAAAATAAATGTCACAATAGATTTGATAAAAGGGAGAAATTTTGCATTGGAAAAATGGGGGTTTTGTCCAAGTTGTAGTTTAATTTAGTACTTCTGTCCCTGCAGAGAAGCTAGCTTTACTGTATTTCATTATTGATTTTTTTTTTTTTTTAAATTTATTCTGCCAGGTGCTTGGTCCTCATCTATTAAAATATATAAGCACATTAGTTTAAAGCGTATCTATTTTTTTTTCTGCTGAATTAGTAAGATTACCTGCTTGATTAAAATTAAGTATATATTTAAGTATTTTCTGAGTTAAACTGAGCCAGTCACTGTCAAACTTGAGAGTATAAATCTTAGAGAAATTTTGGGGTTTTTCTAAATTTGAAAGATTGGGCTTCTGTTATTTTTCAGTTCCTTCTGTCAATGGAGATAATGAATAATGCAAGTTTTAATGATCAAATTGTCATTAGCATGATGAAAAGAGAAAGATTAAAATTTGAAAAAAATGCTTAATCTACTCTGAAAGCCAACTATAAAGGAAAAAAACTTTGAGATACATTGCTTTTTATGCACAGTACTATATCCTTTGTTGCTTTTTTTCTTCCCCCACTATTATCAAGCACTAGAGTTGCATTTTACAATTAGAATTTCAATTTTAGTTTTGCCTGAAATCCAAATCAGTGACATCCAGCAACTCTTTAAGCTGACCCTGTTCCATCAACTTCCAACGACTGCATTATCTTATGACCATCATGAAAGTGAATTCAAGGCAGTGTTTAAAAACTAGGTAAGATCCACCCCCTTCCCTAGCATCCAAATTTATCTTTAAGGAATAACGCCCAATTTCTTAACTGTGCAGGGTGCCCTTTCACTGAGTGATCAGTGTTTTCCAAAAATCTGCCTTCTCAACAGCAATACTATGTTGCACCTCTCTTCTTTGATATCAAGTACAAATATTCATCCCAGAGTAACTGACAGCGGTATGGATTGGGCTATTTATATTGGTGCACTACACGTAGGCAGTAGTTAAAGCATTACTGTTGAAGGAAAAATATTTAACTTCAGAGTCTTAGATTGCCTCTGGGTAGATATTCTCTTCTCTTGCCTGCTGCTTCTGCTATCCTAGAACCTCCCTGCAGGAGGGAACAAAGCATGTTGTCATGTATAATACAAGAAAAGGTGGGCACATTGCCACTTGGAGCTGTTTCTGCTCTACATTTCTGACTGACTACTTAGCGTGGTTGGAGCTACAAAGAACAGATAAAATGGCATTTCCAATAAGTTATGTACAAATACTGATATGGTACTCAGACACAGGTCTGAAATAATGAGCTGTGCATGATATATATTCCATTCCAAAGCACTGTCACATCGCAAGAGGGTGTTAATCATGCACATTAGTGAGGATAATTGCTTTATCTATGCTCGTATCTCAAAAGGGCCTTAAGGTAATATATGGCTATCAGCCCACGTGAAGGAGACACAGTATCTTCAGAGCACTGGGGAATGCAGTTGCTGTGTCATACTTGGCACAAGTACAGCACGCAATGGTAGTGGTATATACGGAAGGACAAGAGGTGACTGAGGAGCTCTGCAGTGAATTTAGAAAGCCTGAGAATCCTTTAAAAACAAAAAGGCAGCCTCTGGGACTCCACTGGCCAGCAGTGCTTAGGAGGAAGACATCTGGTCAGATACAATGACAGAAAAATAGTTTCTACTCCTGCTCTCTGAAATGAGGGAGTTGAATTGCCTTTTAATGATACTTTCAGAGTGGATGGAAATGAATTACTTTTTTTTTTTTAATTGGGTGGATGAAAAAGAATTATTTTACAGGTTCATTTTTAAATGTCCTAAGAAAAGTGCCCAGCTTTCTGTGATGCCAAGGCCTAGCTTTTCATGGAGATCATTATGAGTATGCATGCACGCCTGCCAGTGCCACAGCAGAAGCAACAAGAGAAGTGCAACTATGGCCATTTCTAACTAGCAACACCTAGCCACGTGTGCTGGGACTCCTTGGTGTCCTAAATGGCTTCTGAAATTTGGAAGAAGTAGATGTCAGTGTGTCATTGTCTTGTCCCAGTCTGACTTGTCCCAGCAGGGTGAAGCTCTGTTACAGATTTCCACCTTCCCTGTCATTGCTTGACTTTCGAGCTTAAAGAAGCAGTAATGAGAGGGAGCCAGAGGCCTTGTTTCTCTTATTTCACACCACAGTAGTAAGCTTACCATCCAATTAGCTCCACAGCAACTGGTGGGAAAACTGGTATTGGGGAGAAGCATCCTGCTTAGGAATCTAGGGTCTTAGTACTTCAGTATATCAAGAAATAAGACTTAATTTCTTCTGATGCCTCACTTCACACAGAGGGCTTATAAGAATGCTTACTGGGTGTATTTTGTCCTTTAACCTGGCACATGCTGCAAAATGATCACTTGTGAGGTAGTTCTTATGCAAATTGAAAATAGACTGTTTAAGAAAGTGAAAGGTGGGTGGAAAATGTGCTAGGCTACAGGAAAACATTATGGGAATAGTAAGGGATGACAAAGAATGTGAAATGGATGGATTTCTTCTCATGGAGCATAATAGGGAGTCACTTAATTTTCATTGACTGGAAACTGCATTTTTACTCAAGAATTGTTCTTACCAAACTGCAGAATTTCAGCAGCCCTCTTGGAAAAATTTGGCCATCTTTGGTGCAGACGGAATAACGTTGCAATGAACAATATATACATCTATTCTTTCTCTCTGCCTATAATGATAGCTTCTAATCCCAAGAACCTCCTGCGTGGAGAAAAAGAGCTGTGGGACAGGCCCTCGCTCCCTTTCACTTGCCCATAGGTAAAAAGCCAGATATGTGATAATAAGAGTGAGCTTCTTGTCAACAGATGTTTTTGAGTTTTGCTTCTAAACCCTCAGGGAATGTTTATGTGAATATTGTATAGACATCATCTCAAAGCTGGGTTAATAGTTGGTTTGAAAAGAAGAAAGTATTCTTTCCTAAATAAAACAAAGGATCGTATTTGTGTTGCTTGTGCAATAACTCCAGATGCTCCTTAAGAGTTTAACAATCTGTGTTGGGATTAAACTCCCCCAGCAGAGGGAGGAAAGGGAAATTACGTTGCTGCAGCCACGCTGAGAAACTTGAGTTCGTATACCTCAGCAACTTCAGTGACTAGAAGGCCTGAAGTTCCCTGCTACTCTGTAGTAAAACTTGCAGCTATTTGGGGCCAAAATTTTTACTATCTGCTGTATTTCATTGCTCTTCATAGAATCCTTTTCCCAAAAATACTTGTGGGTGGTGGAAATCAGTCATTTCACCCATATTCTAAATGTTTTTCAGGAACGCTTGAGGTACATGCAGGATGAAACTTTTGAAGGAATCTATACCTGTCCTCTGTTTTTGGCTTTAAGTTGTTTCTACACATGTGGCTGTCAGAGAGTCAGTCATGTGTCTAATGGTTTGTTTCACACATAGAGGTGCAGATATTTCCGCTTGTTGCATTGTACATGCAGCGCTTTAAAAAAATAATTTGGGGATTAAATGCAGCTCTGCATGAGAGTGACCAGCTTCTTGCCTCTTGTAAATCAACAATACCTTTTTTATAGTACGGTTAAGGCATGGGTTTACCTAGGGAGAACATCAAACCATAGTTTCTACATCCACATATAACACTAGATACTCACTGGTCCTTAAGGCAGCCCTACAAGATCTTTCCAGGACTCAGGTTTGGGGAGCTGGAGGAGAAGGATCTGTCTTGCTGTCATCCAGACTGAGCAAGTACCTGCTGCTGTCTGCAGGACCATGTCATGTCCTTCAGGGCAGGATGCCCACTTGTCACAGGGTGTGCCCTCAAGTGGAGGGAACAGGGAAAGATTGGATCCCTCTAGTCAGGATAGCGGCCCAAGAAGTGTGGCATGTAATTAAAAATAAATCTTACCTTAAATGTTTGCCTTACTAGTAGTTCTAACTTTGCCTTCACCCAACTTCCAAGTGTTACCGTTTATATGGAACTGTGGTATTTCTCTGAGTTTTCAGTGTTCTTTAAGCTTCTCTCTTGTCTTTTGCAAATCCATTTTTACACCTCAAGGCCTGATGTATACATAATGCTTCTGGCTATTATATCATGAAGTAGAAAGAAGAGCAGTGATATTATTTTCCCATTTTTAACCCTCAAGCAAACTCTGGTTGCTCTGCATTAGTTTCAGAATGACTCAGCAATTAAAACATGTACATGGGGTTTTTTGGTGGGTTTGTTATGTTTTGGTTTTAGTCTGCTTGCTAGCCTTGCGTACAGCCTCACTTCTTGTATGGCTTCATTTTTTCCTCTTTCTTATTCAGCCCCACAATAGTAGGTGCAAGAGCTTTGATTTCTGCAGCATCCAGCACCTGAAGGACCCTTCCTGTAGCTCTGTTCCATAACAGCTCTTTCCTTCATGCCACATTATCCTTTTTGTTCTCTGCTTGTGCAGAATTTCTTCTATCACTCTATTACTTCTGTAATTCTCATATTTATTATAAACTCAGTTAAGTGTGATGGTTGCTGTTTGTGTGAGAGGTGAAGAACGAATCTGAAATTGTGTTACCTAATAAACATCTCATGACAAGCGAGTTTCTAATTCTAGTCCTTCAATTTTACATTTGCTTTAACAGAGTAACTGATGTAATAAAATAGAGCGTATGTAAAATTATCGAAAAGAGGTTGTGGAGTACTTTGGCAAAACTGGCAGTTGCACACGAGATTTGATTTGGCAAGGCTTTGAATGTCTACGTTCTTACTGTATTATTTCAAATAGACAAACCGCTTAGTTCCTTGTGATTGGACCTGAAACTTCGCATGCATTTACATGTAGAGTTTGAAGCACACATGTTTTCCAGTGTCTAAAAAACCCAAACAGTTTTAGTTCAGTCATTTACACTGCAAGAAAAAAACTCCATGAAAAAGGCTTAAGTTGGTAGTAGGCTGAAAAATGGTAATATGCTGACACCTAATACGTCTAGTAATATTTCTAGCAATTTGCATGTCTCTGTCTCCACTTTAAGATGTTAATAAGAAGTTAGTATTGTCTTTTTTTTTTTTTCCTTCTTCAGTAATGTGCAGTGATAATTATGCTCTTTTCAGGACAGGGTGTGGGCCAATGTGGGAAAGAGTTTAAACTGCGTCATTGCCATGGTGGACAGACTACTTGAAAAAGACAGTGTGAGCAACATTAAAGAGGGTGAAAATGACCCTTCAGCAGCAGATTGCAATGTGTTGCATACAGGTGGTAAGCAATGTTGCTTTTTTTTTTTTTAATCATTGACTAGAATAAATAAAAATAAAAATGGAAAAAGTCACAGAAAAATCATATACAGAAGAGTTAATACTATCTTTGATGAGAGTGCTGATAGCAAGGTTTTGCACAGTTGTAGCCTTGAATGATGGAAGGCTATTTATCAAATTACAGCTCCACTGTGTGCTCAAACTGCTTGCCATGCTCAATGTTTTGTGCTACAATGAAAACCTTTTGAAACCACAATGTTTTCCTTTGATGGCTGATGTAGTTTAATTTATTTTACATTTTACTTGAATATACCATTTTGACAAAAAAAAAAAAAAAATTGAGTGTGTCTTACCCCATAGGAAACTTGTAATGAAAGGTGAACATTGTTTCAGTGTCATTCTCCTGTAAATCCCTCCACTTTTCTGAAGTGATATACTAAGTTTTGTTTTCTGATTTGCTAAAATTCATTTTCCCCTGAATACAGTCGTCAAACTGTGTCAATACTGAAGGAGAAGTAGAGTGATTCCATGAGATGATGCGAAGAAAACTGTCCACAGCAGGTCCTTGTCACCAAATCTTCTGATCTCCTATGGCTACATTCATTGTTGCTTTTGCTAAGCATAGATTATATCTGCTTCATAAGTCTGACAAGACTTTCTGATGTGCAAGTGTGTTGCAACAAATGAAACAGCTCGTTAGTGATAGTGGTAGTAGTGCAAATATAAGGAAATCAGAACCAACCCTTGTGCCGCTCTTCAGTTAAACAAATGAACCCCCCCACACACCAAACAACAAAACCACCACAAACACTTTATTTTATGGAGCTTTGTATAATTATGGCTTTTTTTTTTAATTGCATATTTTATCCTATATTTTCCTTTACATGTTCTTACCTTCCCCCAGGTTTTAATGACATGATTTTATATCAAGGATTTTAAAGTTATTGAACTCATTTGTAATTTCTTACATAACAAGAATTAAAACTATTTTTTCAGCTGTATATCATTTGCATAGTACTGGTGATCTTCGTGCAATAGATTTTGGTTGTAGTATTGATTTTTTAATGGAGCTGCAATGTCAGTATTTTTACCGGTATGAGAGATTTGTGCTGGCATCCTGGAATACTTGTTTTCAGTGCCAGATGTGTTGGTCTTGTTTTTGTATGAATAGTCCAGAGACCAGAGTATTTCTTATCTGCTTGCCTCTCTGAGTTTCTGTCTACCAGGCAAGTATCCCTATAATGTTAGAGACATAGATGGTATCATCTTTGTTCTCTAGTGAAGGCTTGCAGATGCAAAGTATCAACACAATTAGCTTTCTACATTTTTCAGACCTTTTTCGGATAAGAAGGTACAAATATGCAACAGTGAGGTAGGTGTACTTGTCAGCTTGAAAGAATCTTTAGAAAGTGAACCAAAGCATACTGATTTTGATTAAAAGATAAAATTGAATATTTGTTCTTGTGCCTAGTGCCCGTCTCTTCCCCCTGGAGCTAACAAGCTTTTCTGCTATAGTTAGCAGAAATACAGTATGTCTATTAGAAATGTTTTGCAGGTATAGTAGTAGTACGCTTTCACCCAAACTTCCCCCCAGTTACTGCAGTGCATTTGTGTGTGTGTGTACACAGACATGCATGTACTGGTTTTTATCTGTATTCCATAGTTATGGAACAAAACTTCACATTTCCCCCTCCCTCCCCAGTCTGAAAAAAGTAATGATTTAGGATAATTCTTTTTGGATGCTTTCTGACATGCTTAGCAACATGAATGTTTACAGATTTTCCTTCACTCTCTTCAACCTTCTGAACATGTCCTCTATTACTCTGTATAAGCCATGAAATGTATTTAACCAGTCCATTTGAGTCTTTCATGGTAGTTATAAAAAAGTGTGCTCTTAGCTTTGATTCAGGCTCACACCCTACATAGGAAAATGAAATATTGGTTAAAGCTTTTAGCTCACAAAGCCAATAAAACTTAAAAGTTACTTTCTTTTAAGTACTGTAATAAGCGGTCATCAAATAGAATGAAAGGTACCTCTTGCAAAACAATAATGATAATTGTAATGGTTAGAAAATTATAGATGTGTTTCATTTAGCTGAGGAGTTGTCTTCTGGAGCTGACAGGCCAAGGACACAAAAAATATCAGGATGTTATGACACTGGAATGAATTCTTCTCTCTCCCTCATTTAAGGCCTTCCTCATTTCCCTTGAATAAGTACAAGTTCCCTTCTGTGAGAGCAGTCAGTCCTTCTGTTGAGTTGTGCTGAGTGTTCTGCAACACCCCATCACATGGAAATGGCAGGAGATTTGTGGGGCAGATCGCTTTGTTTTCACATCCTACTTTTTGAGGAAGACATCATTTCCTAATGATGTTTTCACGAAAGCATCATGCAGTGCCTTTGACAGCTTATAGGACTTTCAAGGTCATGTAGAAATGAGACCTTTTAAAATTGCTTTCTTTTATAGGACTAACTTAAAAGATGGAGCTTTCTGAAGAACCATCCAGGTGTGTGCCAGAGTTAGTTGCCTAATGGTTTTCAAAACCATTGCCTCTGGGGCCAGAATTCTTCATGCTTGACTTCACTATGAGAGTATGGGTTTATATGTTTGTTTTTCTCTGCAACTCCCTCTCTGAAGTTTGACATGAAGCCCTCAGGATGACCGCGAAGTGCCTATATGGAGGTTGAGATTCGAAGTATAGGCTTATAAATTCTGCCTTAATCCTGCTCCATTTTATATTTGAAGCCTGGTTGTATGGGTTCATAACTTTTTCCTAGATATAAAATCATACAGTGTTTACACCCATAGATACATTTCTGAACTTACAGAATGTTATGCTATATACAATTCACAAACCTTGCACGTGTGAAAAGCTTGCTTATCTTGCGATTATATATTATGCCATAATTTGAGCATAACATGTTTCATTAACACTGCAAATGTATGGGCACAGATAGATCTTTGAGTGTGAAACTGCTTCAGTGCTGGAGTTGATCCTAAGAAAAGTTGTGCTGCTGTTTGTAAGAAAAATGGGGAATACCCAGGGTTTTGACCAAAACATTAAAAAGTATGCCTTAAAGTATGGGATGAAATGTTTGCTTATATTGGTGAACCTGACTGGCTTAATGCAATTTTTTTCCTAGCATATAACAATGAAGAAGATGTCAAAGAATGCAGGCACGGTTTTTTTAGATGGTAGAAAATGTTACAACAATAATTTGATGCAATAGCATATTCCTATAACTATAGATGTTGTCATAACGTATATTCAGAGCTTTCCAAGATAGGTTTATATTTGCAGTCTCAGTGTTGACATTGTGTGATCTTATTCTTCATGCTTATATTTATTGTATGGAATCTTTGTAATCAGAAATCTCGGTGGCACTCTTTTCTTGTACTTACCTTTCAACATGAATTATACCCTCTTAAGCCTAACTTTTCATGCAGTCTGACCTTTGAGTGTATTCTTAAGACTGAATTTGAGTTATCAGTTACCAAGGTAACATGCTATGGTTTCATCAGTTGCAGGATTATGATTTCTCTGCAGGATAAATCAGGAAGAGTAGACGGATTTTAAAGGAGAGGGGGTTTTTTTATTCTTTTAACTCTAGGCTGGTTTGCCTTGGAGAACTACTTGACAACATTAAATTCTTTTTATTTTTGCCTTTTCATTTTCCACTGGAGACAGAATGTGAAAGCCTGTCCTGCAGCATTAGAGGTGCCAGTGAAACACAGTAGTTTGCTTTTATGCTTACACAGCCCCTGACAGATCTCCATGCTTAGCTGTGCTGCTAAAAGAAGCTGTTGTTTTCATCTGCTCCTTGTACCACACCATCAGAACTATCACCCAGCCATTCCTCTGCTGGCTCTGTGTGAGTACTCCCTAATTTGCTACATACAAAATCCACCACATTATTTCAAGAAAATTTAAGTTGGCGGTGTGATTGCACCTGGATTTTGCCTGAAGTGAATTACGGAACTGTAAACTCTGCTGCTGGGCAGATGAATGGGCCAATGGTAACCTTCAGCGTAGGCAGCAAAGAGCACCTGGGGAATGGTGCCATATTTCCTAGCTGGAATGAAGGAAAACCTCTATTCATAGCCACATTGCTACAGGCATATGTGGGTTAATTTTTCTCAAGTAATCTGATACCTGGTGGGGACTCCATAAGTATAGATTAAACCTTTCTGTCTTTCAGTGCCCTAGGGATGGGCACTGCATCCTTTCAGTGCATCCCTCCCAATGCAATACTGATAGAAATGTGAACTAAAACCGTGTTCCAGTTTTGTTTGCATCTTCAGGAGAAGAGCTTTTACTGTAAGTTATCATTTAGTCAGGAAAATGAAAAATTCTCCCTTGGTCATTGTTCGCTTGAGTAGCAGATGTTTTTTATTTTGAGGAAACAAAAACAGTTCTGAAAACCTTTTTCTTCCCTTCCTTTTCCTCACATTTTTCTTTCCTGTTCTCTTAAGCTTATTTTTGCATCAGCTCTGTTTCTGCACATTTTTTTCTTTTTCCTCTCACTTTTGTACCATCCTTCTCTTTTTGGTAGGGTCCTTAACTGGGCTATATGTAGCGCAGCATATAAGACTACCCCTTCAGCAGTACTATCTCCAAGTAGTTCAGCTATTGACGGAAGCTTAAAAATGTGTAATGGAAAGGAAGACTATTTAACTAAATCAACAAACTATTATATAAACAATACATCAGAATATTTAGGTGCACAACACTTCTAGAGCAAGGGTTATCCATTACTCCTATGTTTTGAGTATATTAGATTTCGTTAGCTTCATGTCTGCTATTGCCATTGCCTTCTTTTTCTGTTTCCATTGTGAGTAAAGCTGCTGAGACACTTGTGTATGTATGATTAGATGGTTTCCATTTTCACTCTTAATCCATGTGACAGTGTAGAAAATCTCAGATGGCTACAATGGAATAATAAATCCCCAAGAATTCAAAATTGTTCTTCTGGACACCCAAACTGTGCTAAGTAGACTGCTATT